GCATGCCTGATCCTCTAGCTTCGAAGGCCTTCTTGCAGTCCAAGAAAATGCAATATATCGACCCTTATCTCGTCCTACTTCTCTCACCTTGTCATAAAACTCTAGTAGGTTTGTGACACAGGATTTTTCTTCCCTGAAACCATGCTGGTTGTTGTTTATAAGCTTGTGTCTTTCTAGGTGCTCCACCACTCTCCTCCTGATGATCTTTTCCATGACTATACATGTCAGTGACACAGGTCTGTAGTTCAATGCCTCATGTCTGTCTCCTTTCTTAGAAATTGGGACTACATTTGCCATCTTCCATACCTCAGGTAGTTGCCAAGTTTTAATGGATGTGCTGAAGATTTTTGTTAGTGGCACACACAGCATCTCTGCTCCCTCTCCAGGACTGAAGGAGAGATGTTATATGGTCCCACCGCCTTTGAGGTATCAAGTTCACATAGCAGTTTCTTCACCTCCTCCTCCTCGGTTATGCGTATTTCATCCAACACTCGTTGGTGTACCTCCCTATTCTGAATTCCTGGAGTCCTTCCTGTCTCCACTGTAAATACTTCTTTAAATCTCACATTGAGCTCCTCACATACCACTTGGTCATTTCTTGTGAACTCCCCACCTTCCTTCCTCAGCCTGATTACCTGGTCCTTCACTATTGTTTTCCTCCTGATGTGGCTATACAACAGCTTCAGGTCAGACTTGACTTTTGATGCTATGCCATTTTCGTATTGTCACTGAGCCTCCCTTCTTATCTGTGCATATTCATTTCTGGCTCTTCAGCTAATCTCTCTATTTTCCTGGGTCCTTCATCTTCTGTACTTTTTCCATTCTCTAATGCATTTAGTGTTTGCCCCCATACACCTTTGGGTGAACCAAGGACTCATTCTGGTCTTCCCATTACATGTATCTCTGTTTCCCTTGGGAACAAACCTCTTCCTTGCCTTCTTGCATTTCGTTGTCATATAGTCCATCATTTGTTTTATGGGTTTTCCTGCCAATTCTCTCTCTCACTGAATGTCTTGCAGGAAGTTCCTCATACCTGTGTAGTCCCCCCTTTTGTAGTTTGGGTTTCCCACCCTATTCCTGCTACCCTCTCCACTTGCAGCTCAACTACGTAATCAAAGCACAGAACCATATGATCACTAGCTCCAAGGGGCCTTTTGTATGTGACATCCTCGATGTTCAAAGGACTCAAGGTGAATACTAGGTCCAGTCTTCCTGGATCATCCTCACCCCCTCTCTCTGGTAGCGTGTATAACATGTTGATGAATGAGGTTTTCTAGTACCACAACCATTATCTTGGCTCTCCATGTTTTGGGACCCCCATGGGGCTCCAGATTTTCCCAGTCAATCTCCTTGTGACTGAAATCACCCATAACAACTAACTTTGCTCTCCCCATGCGAGCTCTTCTGGCCATCTTGGCTAGTGTGTCTACCAATGATCTATTGCTCTCATTCCAGTGAAATTCTGTGCTTCAATGATTTCGCTAATATCAACTCAACGGCTTGTTTATCTCTCACTTCATCTAATATGACATGATAAACAATATAAATAACATAGAAACCTGACATATACTCTAAAATGAATAAAATATGTCATTATATATGTGGAGGCGGCAGCTGACGAGTGTTTGTCTGGAGACAGGACAAAATACTCCTTGAATATTTCGCTATCATCAACTCTACGGCTTATTTATCTATCCAAGTTCATCCAATATGAAATAATAAACCATATAAATAACATAAAAACCTGAGATATACTCTTGAATGAATAAAATATGTCATTATGTAGCAGGTGGAGGTGGCCACATCTGCTCCCTCTTTGCTGTGGTAAACACTGCCATCTAGTGACGGCATTTTGAAGCCGTCTTATTATAATTATTATTATGTAGTACATTATTATTATCATTTATGTATTATTATTATACATATTATATTATTATTATAATATAATAATAATAATAATAATAATTTTATTTCTTTGTAAAGGTTACAATGTGTAATTACAATTTTGATTTGCTAAATACAAAGATAGCCACTATCATGCCGAGGCATTTCGGGCAAACTAATCCTAATACATAGTAACTAATTAAAACTAGATAAGATAATAGTACATAGTAATTATTACTTAAACTAAACATAGAATAGTGGTTAGCTGTTTTACAATCTTATTTGGAATTAATAAATCTTATGTATACTTAGTACAAAATCTAATTTACAAGGAATGTTGCAGGTGGTAATATTTTATGGAATGGCAGAATTAAAAGCCAGGTCACATGATAAAACTAGTCAGTGGATGTTTGGTTGATTTGGTTAATATTGTGAGACAAGATGATTTTTTAGCAGAGTCCTAAATTTATAAGTTATCTGGGGATGCTTGACTTGTTCCAGTAGCGAGTTCCAGATCTTTGGGCCTTTTTATGTGCATAGCATTCTTGCATAGTGAGAGTTTTGCTTGAGGGATGTTGGAAAGTGCCTTATGCCTTGTATTGTGACTGTGCATTCTGTTATAACAGTTGAGCAGTAGTTTTAGGGGAGGGTTTACAGTGGAGTTTGAAGTTCTGTATATGTAGTAGGCACAATAATAAGAGTGTATGTCTTGTATATTAAGCAAGTTGAGTCTTTTGAAAGTGGTGGGGTGTGCTGTCTAGCACAGGAGCTGGTTATCACCCGCACACCAGCTTTTTGTTGGATTATTAAGGGTCTCAGGTGGTTGGCTGTGGTTGAGGCCCCAGGCACAGATACCATAAGTGAGGTAAGGATATATTAGAGAGTGGTACAAGGTAAGGAGAGTCGTTTGTGGTACATAGTAGCGTATCTTAGAAAGGATTCCAACTGATTTGGAAATTTTCTTGGCTATGTGATGGGTGTGGGGCTGAAATTTAACATTACAGCCAAGGAGAAGACATAGAAATTTGCCCTTCGTGTGTCTTGATATAGGGGAACCATTTAACAGTATGTTGAGTTGAATATTTGAGGCTCTGTTGCCAAACAGCATGAAGTAAGTTTTTTTTATGTTAAGTGTGAGTTTGTTGGTCATCATCCAAGCATATATCTTTAGCAGTTCATTGTTTACAGTGTTTTCAAGCACAGCTGGGTCTGAATGGGAGCAGACATATGTAGTGTCATCTGCGAATAGAACTGGTGTAAGGAGTTCGGTTGCATTGGGGAGATCATTGATGTAGATGAGAAAGAGGAGTGGGCCTAGGACACTACCTTGGGGTACTCCTACAGCTACAGGTTGGATAGCGGAGTTGACTCCATTTGCATGTACATACTGGTGTCTGTCGTTAAGATAGGATTTTAGGTAGTCAGGAGAGCGTCCTCTTATTCCGTAATAATTCAGTTTGAGGTGCAAGAGATTGTGGTCATCTGTGTCAAACGCTTTTCTTAGGTCAATAAAGAGCCCCAGAGGATATTCATTCTTATCGAGAGCTGTGTATATTACGTCAAGCATTTGTATAATAGCATCATTCGTGCTTTTTTTTTGGTCTAAATCCAAACTGGCATGGGTTAAGTATGTTGTTGGATGTAAGGTAGGAGTAAAGTCGCTTGTGTATTATTTTTTCAAATATCTTGGATAGTAAGGGCAAGTTTGATATGGGTCTGTAATTGTTCAGATCAGTTGGATCTCCACCTTTGTACATCGGGGAGACCGTTGCTGTCTTGAGTATGGATGGGAAGGTTGAGGAAGCTATAGATTTGTTAAACATTGTTGAAATAAGGGGGACAGTTCGGTTTTGCAGCTTGTTTATATTGAATGGGGGAAAGTTATCTAATCCCCCCTGATTTGTTTTTAATGATTTAAGATGTTTTGAGTTTAAAGGAATTGTTGGATAGGAATAGAGTAATATTTGGATATTTGCCAGGGAGGTATTCGTTTGGAAGTGTTTGAGCTGGGAATTTGGCTCCTATTTTGACCCTACGGTAGAGAAGAAACATTAAATTTGTCGTGTGTTATAGATTGCATGTGAGGATCATCTGGTTTAGTTAAGCCTATCTCCAGTCGGTTTTCTTGATCCCAAAATTTTGGAGAGGGTTTGCCAGGTACTTTTCATGTCACCTTTCATTTCACTAAATCTATTTTCATAATACAGTGGACCCCCGGTTTACGATCAGCTCCCAATGCGACCAATTATGTAAGTGTATTTATGTAAGTGCATTTGTATGTGTATGTTTGGGGGTCTGAAATGGACTAATCTAATTCACAATATTCCTTATGGGAACAAATTCGGTCAGTACTGGCACCTAAACATACTTCTGGAATGAAATAATATCGTAAACCGGGGGTCCACTGTACATTTACTTTGATTTACGTATTAGTTTTGTTAGTATTGATGTGTATCTTTTAGTAAATTCTTTAGTAATTAAGGCTAATCTGAACTGCTTTTCCATTTGGTGTTTTTTATTAATAGATTTGAGGATACTTCTAGTTAGCCAAGGCGCTGTATAGCCTCTTTTCTGTGATCTGTTTCGTTTTGATTGGCCAATGTTTGTTGTAGAGATTTAGGGTTTTATGTAAAAAAATTGATATCTTTATCGATGTTATTACTGTCATTTAGGTCTCTCTGCAAATCAATGACACCTAGAGTTAGTTTTAGGATGTTTATCAATGTCTTGTCATGCAGGCGAAATGAGATCCTTCTTGTTTCTTGAGGCAGTTTAGATAAGTTGGTTATGAGAAAGGTAGGATAGTGGTCTGTGGTGTTATCTGTGATTATACCTGCTTGTAGTGGGGATATTATGTTGGTCCAGATGTGGTCGAGTAACGAGGCACTAGTGTCAGAGATTCTTGTTGGCTTTGTTATAGTGGGTAGCAATAAGCTGTTGTTCATAGCATTTGTGAAATCAACTACTGGAGGGTCGGTTGCTTGGATAAGGTTGATGTTGAAATCTCCTGCTAGTATCAGATGGTGTTTATTCAACTCTGACTCAATTATCATGTTTCTAAGGTTATTGTTAAAAGTTTAAGTGTTTGAGTGTGGTAGTCTGTAGAATGCACCAACTGTTATAGGTTTCTTAAGTGTTCTTGATGTGAATTTAGCTATTATATATTCACCTTTTTTGTCCCGTACATTAGTTGATTTCACACATTCTAGTTCATCGGAGTAATAGATGGCAGTGCCTCCTCCTGATTGGTCAGGCCTACAGTTATGCATGGCTGTGTAACCAGGTATGGTAAATATGTCTGTCAGATCTTGTCTGAGCCAGGTTTCAGTAAGTACAGTCGACCCCCGCGTTACGTTAAATCCGCCATACGAATCATTTGAACGCAAAAATTTTGCCTCGTCTAAAAATAAAAATCTCACCTTACGTGATTTGTCTGGGACGCGTCCCATGTGTGGCATCACCGCCAGCGTTTACAAGCCAGCCAGTGCGGTCGTATCTACGCATACATTCGGTACATTTCACGTTATCCCAGTGTTTTTAGTGCTTTTAACTGCAAAATAAGTCACCATGGACCCCTTGTTATCTCCATTCGAACCCCACGACACACCTACCATCCAAGCATGGTTCCGACCAACCGGTCGTGAGTCAAAATGGACGTAAGTCGAACCTTTGAAAATTGCCAACATACTGGGTAGGGCATAATGTCAAACTTTTCCTATATAAACTACCTACATAGTACTGTAATGTACAATTATTATTTCATTCTTTTTACCATAATTTACTTCTATTGTTATATTTTAATTATTTATGTATTGCATATAATGTATACATGGTAGTGAACAGTATTGTAAATTTTACATCGCATACAGTATATGTTAGTTATCTTTATGTATTGTCGACACAGTGGAATGGGAGAATACCACTGGTAGTGTCATCCTGCCAGAATATAGAATAACCTATACCCTAAGTAAAGAGAAACAATTCTGGAACATGTGTAATATGTATCTGACTGGCTGGCCGGGTGGGTGAGTGGGTGGCCAGGTGGGTGGCCGGCTGACTGAATGTGGCTGTCTCTCTGTATCTCTCTCTCTCTCTCTCTCTCTCTCTCTCTCACAGGTATACATAAGTCATCATACATAGTATAAATTACCTAGGATAACCCAAAAAATCCAGACAAAGTGCTATACAGTGGATCTGTGCTCCAGTGCCCTAAATTAATAATATTATTAATAATAATTATTATTATTACAATAATACATATGTACTAATATTAATAATAATATTATTATTAACCCTTTGACTGTTTTGGTCGTATATATACGTCTTACGAGCCAGTGTTTCAGACGTATATATACTCAATAATTCTAGCGGCTTCAAATCAAGCGGAAGAAAGCTGGTAGGCCCACATGTGAGAGAATGGGTCTGTGTGGTCAGTGTGCACCACATAAAAAAAATCCTGCAGCACACAGTGCGTAATGAGAAAAAAAAAACTCAGATCATTTTTTTGGATTAAAACGCCGACTTTGAGGTGTATTTTCATATAGTATTTATCGATGTATTTGCGTTTTCATGGTCTTAAGTGATAAAATGGAAAACATATTACAGAAATAGAGATGATTTTCATTACTTTGACGATGAAAACAACCTTGAAACTGAGCTCAAAGTAGCAGAAATGTTTGATTTTTACCAATGTTTAGGAGTAAACAAATCACACCACACGTCCAATACACGTCAACTGGGGAGTCTGATATTCTTTCACTAGTGCACTGATATTATTTATACCATTTTTACAATAATGCAGTAGTCTGCATAACAGTAAATTTTGTATTTTTTTGTATAAAAAATCAAAATAGAAAGCAATAATAATATAAGAGGGGCCTAGAGATGTGACTAATGAACAGAGGATATGTTATTTTAGTGCCAAGAATGTCTACCTTGTTTATTCTAGACCCTACTTTGAAATTGGCATAATTTTTAGTTCGCGTGAAATTGGCCAAATTGCCAATTTCTGACCACAATATTGGGTAGTCCAAATTGGTAAATGGGAGGTTTCTTGTATCAGCTGAAGATTAAAATGGAGTTTTTAAAAAAAAATAGCTATGGGGTTTGGTCAACTGGAACAACGGAATTGGCTGAAAATAGGGCTCAAAGTTGGCGAAATCGCAATACGCATATGTTGCCGAGACTGCTAACTTCGCGGGAGCGTAATTCCATAAGGTTTTGACCAAATTTCGAACTTTTGGTGTCATTACCATCGGGAAAAGATTCTCTATCATTTCATAAGAAAAAATAATGTTTTTTTTTTTTTCAAAAATTTAGCGACATAGAATGACAGTTTCAGAAAGGGGCCTGAAACAGTCAAAGGGTTAAACTATAATATAATAATCGTGTCCACTCATTACTTACCTTAAAATATCTGTAGTCTTAAATTAAGTGAGAGGGATAAACAAGATTAAATGAATAAATAATGAAGGGTAGAAAGGGGGCGAGTGATGAAAGAAACTTGCTGTTGTTTTGTTCCAGCCCGGGCACGAAATGGTTTTTTTGTTTACTCTGCAAGCTACCAAACATCTCATATTTTTTAATTTTTAAATTTTTGTAGCATGTTTTTTAATAATTTTGAAAAAAAAAATCATAAAGATTAAAACAAATGTCTATACAGTGGACCCTCAACCACGATATTAATCCGTTCCTGAGGCCATTGTTGTCAAATTATTGTTAGCAATTTAAATTTTCCCCATAAGAAATAATGGAAACAAAAATTTAAACCGGCAAGACACCCAAAAATTTGAAAAAAAAATTTTTACCACATGAAATATAGGAAAAGTATTTAGATAAGGCTAAAGAGGTTTGTGGATTTATGATTTGGAAAAGGGGTATGACAGGGTGGGTAGGGGGGGAATGTGGCCCGATGTTGCAATGTATGGTTAGGGGGTAGGTTTTCTGAAAACAGGGGAGTTTTTTTGAGGATAGTGAGGCCAAGAAGTATGTAGAAAGAGGAAATTTTTTTCCCCTAAAAGTAGGCCTTAGACAAGGATGTGTGATGCACCGTGGTTGTTTTTTATATTTATAATGGGGTTTAAAGAAGAAATGCGAGGGTCTTGCAAAGGCGGAGTTAAAAGAAAAAGAATCACAACAAAGTGGAGTTGCACACGCCTTGCCCATGACACGGGTCTTTGGGGATTCGAAGAGAAGTTCAGAGATTGGTGGATGAATTTTGTAGGGTGGCAAAGAAGAAAATTAAAGGGAATACAGGGAAAAGAAAGGTATGAGGGTAAAAAAAAGAAAAAGGTGAGAAAGATTGAATATCGATTGGGGGGAAGAGTAGGAGGAGGTTAAAGTATTCAGATATTTTGGGGGGGACGTGTCAGCGGATGGTCTATGAAAGATGAGGGGAATCAAGAATTGAGAGGGGAAAAAAAGTGAGTGGTGCACTTTGGATCTGTGGAGACAAAGAACTTTTTCCGGAGGCAAAAAGGGGAATGTATAAGTAAAGTTTTTACCAACGCTCTTTATGGGGTGAAGCGTGGTGATAATGGCAGCAAAAGGGGGAGGCAGTGGAGATTCATTCTGAGGGCAATGTGTGTGTGAATATAATGCAGAGAATTCGTAGTTTGGAAGTTAGGAGGGTGCGGGATTACCAAAACTGTTTTCCAAGGGGTGAGGAAGGGTTTTTTGGGTGGTTCGAACATGAAGGGGAAAAGGACGAAACAAATTACTTCAAGAGTGTATCATCTGTAGTGGGAAGGAAGGCGGGTAGGGGGCGGCCTGGGGGGGTTTTGGGGGGAGGGGGGAAAGGAGGTTTTGTGTCAGGGGCTTGGATTCCAGCAGGCAGCGTGAGCTGTTGAAGGAGTGAAGGGGCAAAGGGGGTTTTTAAACTGACTTCTGTTTGGGGTTGAGCAAAGTAACATTTATGAAAGGGGTTTAGGAAACCGGGAGGGGGCCGACTTTGGCCTGGAGATGGAATACAGTGCCCAAAATCTGAAGAGGGTGTTAATGTTTCTTTTAAAAAATGTATGTAAAAACACCCTTCTGGGAAAACATGATGGGGGAATGATGGGGGAAAGTTTTTTTTTTTTTTTTCGGGCCAAAACCGCCTTTGGGGGGAACGGGGGGTGTGAAATAAAAAATGAAAAATTAATTTTTAAAACCACAAACTGAAGATTTCATGCACAGTTACATACACTTCCTTTTTTTGAAGACGGGGAGATTGATGGGAGGGAGGAGGGGAGAGCGTTTTCTTCTTAGTGTTTTGAAGGGGAACCCCCTCCATTACACTTGAGGCAGCAATATTTTTCTGGGGTACTTCCCTTGTTCTTTTAATGCCACAAAGGGCCAGCTTTAGAGTCACTGGAAATTCGTCCACAACAGTCTGTCCATAGATACCTGTACCTCTCGTTCCTTTATGACTTTCCTAAAGTGGGTTTACAAATTGTCAGTGTACAGGGTTTCCAAAACAGCTCAGTGCTGGCCGGGGGATTTTCATCAAAAAAAAGGTTTGCATTCAAGCCACTTTTCACACATTTCCTTAATCTTAGAAGTAGGCAACTTTTTCAATTTTTCTCTCCCCTCCTCCGAAGCAGTTTCCTCAGGTCTGCCCTCTTGCTGTTCAAGATGATCTAGCAGCTCATCAGTGATTAGTTCTTCACTGTCCTCCACCACCAACTCTTCCACATCCTCCCCACTAACCTCCAACCCCAAGGACTTCCCCAATGCCACAATGGATTCCTCAACTGGCATAGGATTCCCAGGGTTAGCCTCAAACCCTTCAAAATCCCTTTTGTCTACACATTCTGGCCACAGTTTTTTCCAAGCAGAGTTCAATGTCCTCTTAGTCACTTCCTCCCAAGCCTTACCTATAATGTTTACACAACTGAGGATGGTAAAATGATCTTTCCAAAACTCTCTTACAGTCAGTTGAGTTTCTAAGGTCACTACAAAGCACCTTTCAAACATAGCTTTTGTGTACAGTTTCTTGAAGTTGGAAATAACCTGCTGGTCCATGGGCTGCAGGAGAGGAGTGGTATTAGGAGGCAAAAACTTCACCTTAATGAAGCTCATGTCCCTAGAAAGTCGCTCTGCCAAGTCAGAAGGATGACCAGGAGCATTGTCTAATACCAGGAGGCACTTAAGGTCTAATTTCTTTTCAATTAGGTAATATTTCACATTGTGGGCAAATGCATGGTGTAACCAGTCATAGAAAAAGTCCCTAGTGACCCATGCCTTACTGTCTGTCCTCCACAGCACACACAAAT